CAAAACAGCCCCCTGTGAAGCAGAGCCTCCACCTTCAGCAAACACCGCCAGGCACAAGAGCAGGTTGGCTCGGGTGCCCCAGCCTTGCAAAGGGACCGGGGGAGCAGCACCTCCAGCTGCCCTGCAATTCCAGGGCTGGCAGTGCTAGGTCTGAAAAAACACAGTAACAAGTTTAGGGCACAGATAGATAAGGAATATAATATCATTCTGTGTTACCCACAGCAAGCATTTAGCCTAAATTCAGTTCTCAGAATGTTTTTAAACAGATTTATAACAAAAAGAAGTTATCCTGAGCTTAAGCAATAGAAAAAAAAAAAAAAAAAAAAACAAAAAAACCCCAATCTTTCATGAAGAAAAAAAAAAAAAAAAAACAAACAAAAAAAACCACCAATCTTTTATGAAGACTATTAAAACCAAAACTCCTTTTTGTCACATTTTGTTGTCATTTTATCATAAAACTTCCATACCTTCCCAGTGATTTCTCATGGGCAGCCCCTCACAGCACTAACACCTTCTTCTTCACAGCACAGCCAACAAACTCCAGCACTCTTCACAACCAGCAAACCCACTCTTTTATAGCGTTCATCCTTACTGGACACAGCTGTGGCCTATTAAGGGTAGGCCTGTTCCTAATCTTTGCTAATTAGCACAGCTGCAACTCCTCAGGGGTGAGATTGCCTTCTGCACTATCTCATTCTATCCCCCCACAATATTTTAGTAGACTTTTAATTCTTTTACAACTAAGTTCATAACCATATATCAGAAAATGCCTAATACATTTTTCTCTTGTAAGAACTTAAGGTTAGTGTTGTATTAGCTGGCAAATTTTTAGTGCTTTCATTTTTCTGATTATCATGATCTTCTAGCATAGTTTTAGCTATGGATTTTCATATTTCCCAGTCTATGCTAAAAACAAAATGTAGAGATGACATATACTACTACAGTGGCAGTGACACTGACTAAAGGAGAATCAAATTATGTGCAAAAAAAGCCAAAATAATTGTTTTACCGGAAATAAAACTAAAGCAAATTTTTGTCAATAAAACTTTATTATTTGAACAGAGTATGAATTTTTTCATAACTGTAACATAAATGTGTTAATTTATTAGTATGATAAACTTACAGCCATGTTCCTTAGTAAACTGAATAGGCTGGACTAGATGAACAATTTGAGATTTTATCTTCCCATTAACCTAATAATGAAATAATATGTTTTGTGAGCCACCCATGCTGTGAAAATTAAGTAAGATCTTATCCACAGGTTACATTTAAGGATATTACATTGCAATAAATCTAAAATATTTATGAGTGTTGTTTCAATATAAAACCACAACTGTTAAAGATTTTCTTAGATAAAACAAGCATCAATTGCCTCTATAAGACATGAGGACAGGCCATGTTTTTCTAATTTAATTTTTATTGGCCTTATGAGTTAACAATCACATATCTTTTTGTAACTCCTGTATTAACCTTTTGAATAAGATGGTAGGAAAGGTACAAGATACATATTCGACTGGTACAACTTACAAATAGCTATGCAAGTTTGAGGGATTTGGGTTAGAATCGCCTGTTTGGGACTTTCCATGGGAGAAAGAAGAAGTCATTTTCCTGAAAAGACATGTGCCATTTGCTTGCCTCTGCCAAGCCACAGAAACTGTGGCTAGGAAGGTTTGCTTTGTTAGCATACTTAAATAGAATAGTATTAAACTTTTGTGCTTGCTTTGTAAAAACAACAATGCTGCTGACAAAATCCTTCATAACTTTCATGTGACAGGTCAAAAAGATGAACCTCATGAAAGAACAGTTAATTGACTCTTTTATCTTCTTCTTATAGGAAAGAACTAGGTGTCTCAAAATGAAATGTGGACAACTGCCTAAACACAGCAAAGGGCAGCTTTGAAATACTTTGCACAGGAATATATTTGAAAAACTGCCTCTCTGGAACAATAATATTGGGAGGGTATTCTTTTGTTTGTTTGTTTTTAAGTCATGAGTAGCAGTATATTAAAAAAAATAAAAGAGAGATGGAACAGAATGCTAAAAGCCTAAATGAATCCATCAGTCTAAAGGACTACTTCTGCGAATGTCCATGTCTGTTAACTTTATGTACTTACTTTCTCAGACTTTCATATTTGAAAAATTCTCATTCCAGAACAAAAATAATGCAAAATGGCCACGCTATTTGCATGCCCTGGACAATATGCATGATATGACTATTTTAATGCACAATTTTAGCATTAGTGAAGCATTTCTTTCTCACAATTTTTTTTCCTCAGTCATGATTAATCTTAGTAAACTGAGCTCTTGCAACAGTGTATTTGTTCTGTGAAACACCTAATGAGCACAAGAGGGGCAGTATAAAATAATAATAATAGATCAAAAGTACTAACATTTACTTTTGGCTTAGTAAAAGCGTCTGATAAATTATTCCCTTCAGTGTTTCTCTGTTATTGCAACACAGTACCTTGAAAGTGATATATTGGCACAAGCCATTGTGTTCTACCACAGTGCAATTAGGAGGTCCATTTAAACAGCTTTATCATATGCACACATAGCTTGATTAATTTTCTAATCAAATGTTCCAGGAAATCATTAACCATGACATTAAACACTGTTCTGCTAATTATACTCTCCACAAAGAATTCCAATATAAATTTACAAAACATCTACAGAAAGGTGCCAAAGGATGAAACAGTTTAACGTATACAAATAATTACGGCATCTACTCCGCGTGGCCCCATAGCTCCTCGCCCTGCAAAGGCTGAGTCTGGGGCTGAATTCTGCTATGTTTCACCAGAACTCTGTGTACTGGCAGATGTTACATTTTGTAGGTCACTGCCTGTGTAAGTCATGGTGAAGAACTGAATGACAGAAAAGAAATTCTTCCATTTTAGGAAATACTCTAGAGGTATAAATGCTGAGTATTAGCTTTTTCTTAATGATCCCTAACACTGAGATTTGGAAATAGATTTTCCCCTACATAAATCTCCAGTTTGCATCATTATTCTAACTTCTCTTAATTTAAAATAAAGATAAATGCAAAGTATTGATTGTAGTAATGAGAATTCAATTGCCTTGTAAACCAGATGCAATTTGCTAGTTTACAGCATAATGAAATCTCTATTTATGTATTTCCCCATAAACCACAGCTTCTTGCAGGTCTTTCAGTGATGGAAAACAACAGATTGCATTAAACAAATGCAGACTGTAGGTACACCTGTTCTTTCGGCCTTGGCAGAACAGTTAACAGCTCCTCCACACAGACTATGTCCACCATTAAACAGAAACTCGGACGCAGGAGGGTGATGGAAACACTGCCACTGTTTTGGATAGGGACTATGTCTCTTCTGTATTCTGCCTTCTTAACCCAATACCGCCAGGTTGGTATAAAAGTAATATGAGAAGTATTAATAATATATATAACACACACATATATATGTATTTTTATATATATGTATGTATGTATGTATATGTATATGTTGCTCTCCACAGCTACTATATGAGAAGTATTAATAATATATATAACACACACATATATATGTATTTTTATATATATGTATGTATGTATGTATATGTTGCTCTCTACAGCTACCAGAGAAGAGGTTCTAATGGAGGTGGGGGCCAGTCTCTAGTGTGACTGCAGTGACAGGATCAGAGGAAATGGCCTGAAGCTGAGGCAGGGGAGATTCAGATTAGATATTAGAATTTTTTTTTCACTGTTCAGATGGGCAGGCATTGGAATAGATTGCTTGGGGAGCTGATGGAGTCACCATCCCTGGGGGTGTTTTAAGAGGCAATTTGGATTTTTGGACTGGATGATTGTAAAGGTCCCTTCCAAACCAGATGATTTTACAATTCTATATAATAATGTATATTTACATATCAAAGTCAGTGCTCTAATGATATAAAAATGTCATATAGAAATAGATGAACCACTTTTCACCGGTCAAACAGTGGCTTGAGTATGGAATCGGAATTTTTAACAAAGCCATGTTATAAATAAGAAGCTTGACTAGGCCAATATTCAAGCAACAATCAATTTATTAATTAATATGGTAAAGTATGAGCAAAACAGCGCTGGGTACAGTGGGGGAAGTTTTCCCTCCAACTGCACACCGATGGTTGAGGCTTACAGGTATTTATAGGGGTACCCACAGCTTTCTCAGCAATTTCAATTCCCGGCAGTTTCTATTCCCAATTTTTACGTCACAATTCTATACGCTACATTCTTAAAGCTTTAATTCAGATGCTATTTGCAAACAAAGGATAATTTCCAAGGCCTTTTTCCATGCTTTACTCCCACAGTTATTTTTTAGAATTCATCTTTTAATTGTCCCATGATCAGTTTCCACACAAATCGCAATCACAAGTACACACGCTACCTGTATGTACCTGACACGAAACACAACTTTGTATCTCACAGCCACTTGTTGGAAATCGGCATCCTAGGCCAAACAGGTGAGGGACCCGCCCCGTGTTCAGATCCTGAACAGACGGGATGCAGAGAAGACAGGATTTGCACCAGAGGGAAACCAACCCTCCCTTCCTCTGCGCGCGCGTGTGCGCGCCCCGGAGGCGGCGCTACCTCACCCCGCGGGCCGCTCCCGTTCCCGGCGGGGGCACGCGCGGTCCGGCGGGGCGGGGCGGGGCCCGGCGCGCGCCGCTGACTCACGGCGGGCGGGGGCGGCGCCGGCGGTGGCGGGACGGTTCGGACGGCGGGACGTTGCCGCGCTCCGCCAGCCGCGGCCGTTGGGAGCGCGCGGCCCCGCGCGGCTCGGGCGTGGCGGGATTAGGGGCTTCTCCTCGCTAAATCCCGCGCTGCGGTGAGGCCGCGGCTTTAGCGCTGAGCCCCGCTCCTCCCCCCCCGCGGCGCCCTGCTGGCCGAGCCCAGCTAAGCCGCGCTAATCGCAGGCGCCCAGCTCGGCCGGGGCCGCCGGGCCTGGGCCCGATCGCGGGCAGCGCGCCCCCTGCCCATCTCCCTTCCTCGCCCGTGCGCGGCCATGGAGCCGCCGCGGCCGCGTTACTGCGCCCCGTCCTCGCCGCCAGGTCGCGGCGGGCGGGAGAACAAGGGGCTCCGTCGGAAGGGCCCGCCGGGGACCGGGAGCGCTGGGGGCCCCGAGGAGGCGGCGGACAGCAGGAAGCCCAAATTCGTAAGTACGAGCCGGTCCCGCGGCGGGGGTGCCCGAGGAGTGGGGCCTGCGGTGACACCTCCGTCTCTCCCTCGCCGTCCCTTCCGGGGCCAGTCACTCTCTGCCTGGGGCCCGCCGAGACCGAGGCACTGAGTGGTAATACGTGGCGCCGTCAAGCTCAGCTGGGCTTCGGAGGCTGATCCCGCTTGGTCCAGCTTGCCTCTTGCTTGCCCCTGTGAAAAGATGCAGCAAGTTTTCAGGTCTCTCCCGAGCCCTTCATCACAAAGGTTCATTGCCTTTACTTGGTGCGTGACAGCGATGGTTGCAAGGGGAATAGAACAGACTTCCAGCTCTTACACCGTGTTACTTCTCATAGGACTGGGGCGTTTGTTTTGTTGTTGTGGGGTGGTTTTTTTTGTCGTTGTTGTTTTTGGTTTTTTTTTTTGTGTTTTGTTTTTAACTTTAGTGATACAAACTCTACAGTGAAAAAGACAGTCTTTGCATTTAAAGGACATAGTGAAGTTCTCTTCCATAGGCCTGCTTTTACAAGCTTTTGGCTAGCGCACTGAGAAATTGGGAAACTCAAGACCACTTATCACGAGATAATGTGTCTGCAAGATGTGCTCTAACCAAAGCGTACCCAGAAATAACCAGTTTTTGTTTGGACATGGTGAAAATCCCAAGCATTAGAGTTGGGACCAACATATGTTCTACAGGCCTTATATCCGCAGAATCAGTTGGGTTGGAAAGATCTCTGGAATCATTGAGTCTAATTTATGACCGAACACCACCATGTCAACTAGGCCATGGCACCGAGTGCCGTGTTGGGTCTTTCCTTAAACACTTTCAGGGATGGTGACTTCACCACCTTCCTGGGCAGCCTGTTCCAATGTCTAATTACCCTTTCTGTGAGAAATTGCTCATTATGTTCAGCCTAAACGTCCCGTGGTGAAGTTTGAGACTGTGTCCTCTTATCCTGTCGCTGGTTGCCAGGGAGAAGGGGCCAAACCCATCTGGATACAACCTCCTTTCAGGGAGTGTCTGCCACATGCCGAGGAAATGCATGCACCCCGTGCTCATATTTAGGTGATGCATGTTGATCTTTCCCTGATCCCACCTGCTCTAAAATGTGTTTGTTACATAATTACAAAAGAGACACCATAACACTTAAATTATTAGACTCTTGATTCTAAGGTGTATTTATGAAGCATTACGTGCTTGAGTGTCTGGCACTTGTGCACAGGTTCAAAAAAGTTAGCCAATAAGGAGTATCAAACAGGCTGGCCAGACCTGTTCTGGAAGGTCACAGCTTGCTCCTGGAATATTCCTATTTGCTGTTATCTTTTTGTATTGTGGCTGCAGAGACTGCTGTTGGAACCATGTCCCTGTGCCTTTTTCTGCATGTTAGAATGGGCATATATATGAAACTGTGACCTAGAGCTATTTGCTTGGCTTCATAAGTGGCTGTGTGTCTATCCACTGGGGACACGTGTTTTAGCCGTGCAGGTGACATGGCCCCTCACTTGATGAGGCTTTCAAAAGGGCTCATAATTGTTCCTGTATTCTGAGTTAGATGTACAGGAGAAACAGCAACAAGATATTCTCAAGAGGTCAAAACAACAAAAAGAACTTTACTGGCAACCTCAGAAAATCAAAGATCTTTGGCAAAAGGTTTAGTGCAACATTCAATCAACATAAAATCAAAAGGGCTTAAAGTTTGCCAAGTTGAATGGGCTAAGTTAATGCTTTGAGATGTATTTTAAGTTACTCAAAAATTCTAAGAGGGAATTAGAAGAAAAAGGAGAGGAAGACAAAAAAGATCTAAAAAAGGACACGCATAGCTACCAGCTGCTGGGCTCCAGCAGTGCTCAGCTGATAGAAATTCTAAGAGGAGGTGGGGTGAAGACATGTGCTTGCATTGTGTTCAGCTTTAAATACCCCTTGGCTTTCCTGGGCCCTTCCCCTGGGTGGGACTTCTGTTTGTTTGGCCACTCGGCAGCTGGGTTAGGGGTTCCAGAGGCCAGGTATGGAGCATTGCCTCCTCTGTGCCAGGGATTGGAGCCAGTGTGAGGCTGAGATACCCCAGGAGTGGGGTGTGTGTGCAGAGCAGGGCATCACCTCACCAAGGCGAGGCCCAACCAGCCCCTTGCCCCACACACACGTATCCTAAAATGTCTTGTGACACCAGATCTTCCCAGTCTCTCACAACATGCTTTAGTATATGATCTGTGAGGAGAAACCCATGTGGTCTGGCCACTGTAAAAGATTGGATAGTGTTGTTGCTGTATGAGTTGAGGGTTGGATGATTCCTTTCATGAGAGTCATGGATTTTTGTGTGTTTGCAGCTGACAAGAGCTCTGGGTCAAGAGGTTTTACTTAGTAGCAATACTTTGATTGCCAAGTTCTTACGCAGATATCACAATGGTTTTCATTTTTTCCTACAATTATGTCCTAAAACAGAAGTGGTGTGTTGCCATCATGTTCAGTTTTGCTAATCATGTGTTAAAATGGCAGTACAATAGTTTCTAGGGAGTAGAATGTGGATAGAGATGAAATAAAAGCCATTGAGGTTTTTTTTCTTAGATGAAATCTCACCTTTTCAATGAAAGAAGGCCTTTTCTCTGGTGCAGGTGAGCTTGGTGGGCATATGTTTAGGCTTCCCAGGCTATGCAAGGGTGATTTTGATAATGTTTCAAGGTAGGTATCAGCTGACTGGTTTTTTAAGGTCATGGTGTTGAAGTCACAGCTACAGAAAATAAAGGGGGTTGAATTTGGGGTTCTGACTCCGTTTTATAGAGTATATAGTAATCTTGTAGGTAGGTGTGAATTTTGATAATTTTTTTATTTTGCCCTCTTCCTGTTCCCCTTCCCAGTTTCTCTTTAAGCAGGGATAGATGAGAATGCCCTTAATTCACGAGAATGCTTTGTCAAACTGCAATTTTCAAAAGCATTTCACCCTAACGGTAGTCCTATTTTTCACCTTTAAATAATGTCTTAAAGCAAAGTTTTTATCCTTGGATGTTGATAGGGACTGAAGAATTATGGATTGAACATGGATTGTATTCTAGGTGTGCCATTAACTCACTGGCTGACCTTATTGCTCTCTCCAGCTGCCCGGAAGGAGGCTATAGTGAGGTGGAGGTCACTGTCCTCTCCTAAGTAACAAGTGACAGAACAAGAGGAAAGGGCCTCAAGTTGCGCCAGGGTAGTTTTAGATTGGGTATTAAGTAAACTTTCTTCACTGAAAGGGCGGTCAAGCACTGGAAGAGGCTGCCCAGAGACGTGGTTGAGTCACCATCTCGTAAGGTGTTGAAAAGATGTGTAGATGTGGCACTTAAGGACGTGGTTTAGTGATGGACTTGGCAGTGTTTGGTTTATGGTTGGGACTTGATGATCTTAGAGGTATTTTCCAACTTGACTTCATTGCATTTAACTCTTTCTGTAGTACATGTTCAATGTAATTTTAATAATTAAATTAGTTTTGTATATGAATGTGTAAAGCTTGGCTCTCACATCTTTGGACTCTCTGCAATCCAGTCTTAGATTTAGTTTATGCCCTTTTCTCTGTGTGGGGTACTTAGAGTGCCATACCTCATGTTCCCTCAGTTTTATTTCTATCTCTGTACGCTTGTCAAATTAAAGTAGCTGTTAGATTTATTGACCTCAAGTAATACGGATTATGTGAGTGCAATATTTCTCAGTGTTCAGGGCTTGAAAATAAGTTCCAGGTTGGACCCTTCCAGTCAATGCAACATATTGATCTGTCATAGCAGATATGCTAATCTGAAAAATAATGTGATTCCCTGACAAACCTTGAAGTGAAATTGGATTGCTTATTGACAAAGGTGACATCATTAACATGCGCCTCCTGTTTTTTTCTCCCTTCTAAAGAAAATTCTGTTTTTAACTGAAGAAAATACAGTTTTTAAAAACCCACTGCATATGAGAGGTGGAGGGAGGAGAAAGAGGCATTGGAATCAGCCACTATAACTGTTTAGCCCTGTCAAATGAGGCCCTGAAGGACTCATTTTGAACAAACTAGCTTCTCAGAAGAAGTGAATGAATTTTAAGCCTCAGTTGTCTCGGTTCTTTTGCAGAATAATTTTAAATACTTTTTTTGAAGGAGTGATGGCTCATTTTGAAGAACATACCAGCATGACTTTGTTCAACAGGTCCAAGTTTTTAGAGGAGTGGGACTTTTAAAAGAGTAAAAAAATTTCTGTGGTACTGTGGTACTTCAGCTTATTGAAAGTTTGTCCCTAAACCACTTGTGGTTTAGGACCTTGTAAAAAGAGGAAATCTGCAGAAGGATGGCAGATATTTCACCTGTTCTCTATGTATACATTGACTGAGCAAGAAATTTCTGAAATCTGCTAGGGCAGGGTGGGGCAAAAAGCAATTGTTTGCCCCTTGAAGCTTTAACTATAAGAACGCCTGGCTCTGTCTATTCATTACCCCCCCCCCCCCCCCCCCCCCCCGCCTTAGTAATGTTTGGAAAACATTACAGTGTTTTTATTATATAATATTATGTGGCTTATATTATGTCACTATATTGTGTGACTTCCAACTGCACTTTACAGATACTACATATTGTAGACACTGGTCCTCAAAAGATCAAATTCAATTTCCAGCTCAAATTAGAGGTGTTTCTATCATAGAGGTGTTTCTGTTAATTTCAGTATACCGTTGACCTGACTTCAGTGACTTTCAGGTTATGGTTTTGATTAAGTTCTTTACAAAATTTATGAGTCAAGAAGGGTTTGTTTACACCAATCTGTTAAAAATAGACAAATTAACAGTTGCATTTAACAGTGTCTATAAATCAAAGAAAGATGTAGTTAAGAAGAAAAGCACTTCCATTTCTCTGGCATAGAGTAGAAAGGTAAGACCAATCTGTGTCAATATCTTTAATTACAAAGTGACTGAATTATTGCTGCAGTTATGCTGCAGTGTAAGACCTTGAATCTAAATTAGTCTTTTAAAGAAATGATTGCTGAACAGATGTTACCTCAAACACTTTA